TTCGATGTATTACATATTTAATCTTGACAGCAAGTTTACTTAATATAAAACCAAAAATATTATTTACTTTGAAGCCAGAGTCTTCAATATATTTTTAGTGCCAACTTGGTCTAAGTGATTGTCAGAAAGAGTGTATACTTTTTTTTTTTTTTTTTTCTAATTTATTGTTTTTTATATTATTGCTTATAATATTTTTACTTTCTGTTCTATTACTTTTTATATAATTATTATCAGAACTATTATTATTTAAGTATTTATCTTTGCTATCTTTCTTTCTATATCTTTACTTTTTAAACTTTTATTTTCTGAATTATTATGTTTTAAAAGTTCTAAAAATAGCTTTTCTTTATGCTTATATTTTGATAATGATTGTCCTTTACTTATATTAGCACTTTTTATATCAGCTAAGACTATTTAGTTTTAAGATTAACATATTTCTCATTACATTTTAGAAAATAACATAGTATCTTTTTTTATTTATATACTAGTTCTGTACTAGAAGTATTTTTTTCAACAAATAACATTATTATTTATTATTATATTTTTAATATTTTACTAAATTTTTGATAAGTTGATATGTAGTACAAACAACTGTCTTAAATATTTTGTAATAAATGTTTTATATATTTTTATTTTTTTTCAGTATTAAGATAATTTCTTTAGTCTTTTGACTTTTTATTTTTTATTTTTTAAATGTTAAAGTAAATACATGCAACCTAGGATTTTATTGATAGTATCAGTTGACCAGCATCTGTTAACATAACAGTGCAAAGGTGATCATAAAAAAAGTGTACAATTAGCCACTTGTACAACTTTAGTTTTTGTCAAATTTAAGTAGTTCATCTGAAGGTTTTACACTAGTTGCTATATCTAGAACCCATCTGTAAGACCTCTATTTAAACATTTTGATCTCATATCTACTATACCCTACCAACAACTTCAATAAACTGATAAAGATATGCCATGATCACTAAGTCATGTTTAACTTTGTACTAAACCTACTAGTGTATTCTGTATCCTATACTTATAGCTTACCTAGTATTGCTTTGGCCTAAACTATCACTTGCAGTTAGGGCTAACTATTAAACTACTTTTATTCTTGTAAGGTTCACCTAAAACTTTAGTACTTATCTTTCTAATATCCTCTTTATCATCCTCTACTAACTGCTACTTAGAACCAACAGAACTTCTTAGACTTCCAATCCAGATAGCCCAGTATGATATATCTTAGTATTCTTTTTTTTTAATGATTCCAGTAGCCTAGTTGATTATGTGCTTTTTTATATATCTTACTATTCAGTTTATATGCCTATTCCTTTGGAGGTGTTTTATAGGCTTTCATCAGTTTGACAGTACTGTCAAAAGTTTTGTATTACCTCCTTACTTAGAATTTCCAAGTAGGTTTTCAATTTTTTGGTTTTTTTGCTTTTCATATCTGGTGGTCTTATTATTGGTTTGCACTAAAGTTTTATACAACATCAGTTATTAATATTCCTCTATATGAATGTAACATTATACTTAGCATAGATGCTCCAAGCTTCTATTTAAGATAGTGTAAGTAAAGGTTATAGATATACTAATTCAACTGATTGACAAAGACAGTTATCATAATACAGACTTATTTTTTAAAATTCATCATCTATAGGATTTGAACTCTAGACCTATCACTTGAAGGTTAACAACCTGATCACTTTATTAAGTTATTATACATCTTTTTTAACTTTTTATTTTTATTTTTATTTTTTGATATTAAGATGACCTCTTTGTTTTTTAACTTTTATTAATCACTTATCAGTATTGTGATTCAATGAACCACTACAGAGAGCATACAATTGGCTATATATGTAACTTTTCTATATTATTTATTTAAGAAGTCTGCTTGAAGGTTTTCTACTAATTGCTATATCTAATATCCCTGCTTGCATGTTCTACTTTAAACCCTCTAAACCTGTAATCTGTGTTAACTCACTGGGTTATATACAGATGCCCAGATCATCATCTCAATCTTAGAACTAATTTATTCTCGAGATAAACTCTCCAAAGCCTTCTGTATCTATTTTTATAACTGACTTAGGTATTACTATAGCAGAACTAACACTTGCAGTTAGGACTAACTATTAAACTACTATGCTCTTGTAGAGTTTACTTAGATCTCAGCATCTACTTCACAGCATAACCCAAGTAGTTTAATATATTTCTGCCTTTTCCTTTGCTTTTTTACTAAACTTCCAATCCAAATAGCCTATATAGAACTATGACCAGTCTATCAGTATATCAAATTAGCCTAATATCCTTTTCCTCCAGTTCATTTTAGTAGTCTGATTGGTGGTACTTCTGAGACTTCCAACCCAGAGGTTCTTGCCTATTTAGCTACTATGACCAGGTACTAGACTTGAATATCTATTTTGCTAGGCTAGCCTTTACAGTAAGGCTGTCAAAGATCCAGCTACTTCTCTACTTGGATCTTTCTAAATGGACTTTTTGTTACACAATTTTAATAAATTTAAATGGTCACAAAAACTTATTTAGTGTTTGTACTGCCTGATTTGTCAAATTGCATTCCTCTGTATAACTTCAACATTGTACAGATGCCTTATAACCTGTCAGTCATGCTGGTGTGACCATCATTACAGGTATCTTAATCTAATCATTTGTAACAGTTGTCATAATACAAATATTATATAGATGATTATACAAATTTTTGTCATCAATGAGATTTGAACACCCAATTTACTGCTTAAAGAGTTAAAAACCTGACCACTTCACTAGGTTGCTACATCTCTCCTTTTGACTTTTTATTAATACTTATATTAAATATATGTTTATATAAATATATATTTATATTAAACTATACAAACAAGTATATAATTAACTACATATATAACTTTTCTATATTATCTATTTAAAGAGTTTGTCTGAAGGTTTTTTATCATTTACTGTATTTGACAATTCTACTTAGATGTTTTATCTAAACTTTTTAATCTGATCCTAGTATTAACTACACTGAGTTAATTGATTCAGATTCTTTTATTTTAATCTTAAAACTATAATCTTTAAACTATTTTTATTCTTAAGATAAACTTATCAAAATTAGCCATATTTTTTTTTATTACTAATCTGGTTTAATGCTATAATTGAAACTAATATTTGCAGTTAGAGTTATTTATGAAACCATTTTTGCTTTTATAAAATTTATTCAAATTCTGGTATTTATCTTTCTGATGTTTTTTTCATTATCTTCTGCTAACTATAGCTTAGAATCAACAAACTTCTTAGACTTCCAATTTGAATGGCCCAATATGATATACTTATGTATTTTTTTTTCAGTGATTTTAGTAGCCTAGTTGGTCATATATTCATCTACACATCTTGTTATTTAGTTTATCTATAAAGGTGTTTTATGAACTTTTATTGGTTCAATAGCATTATTAAAAGTTTGTACTATCTTTTTATTCAAGATTTCTAAGTAAACTTTTATTTTCTTAATTTCTTAGTTTTTTATATTTAGTGATTTTATTATAGGTTTGTACTAAAGCCTTATGTAATATCAGTTTTTACATTTTTCTATATATATATAATATTATACTTCACATAAATATTTCAAGCTTCAAAAATCTAATAAGCCCTAATCTAATATACTTAAAATTACAGATATATAAATTCAACTGATTGATAAAAGACAGTTATCATAATATAGTTATAATTTTCAAATTTGTTATCTATAGAAATTGAATTTTAGATTTGTTATTTGAGGATTAACAACCTATTTACTTTATTAGATTATTATACTCCAAAATGGTTAATATATATAAAAACAATAGTACTAATATTTGTTAAAGAAATACAAATATACTTAAAAGTATACAAGAGTCAAAAAAATTATAAAAGAGAATTTAAAAAGTAATAAATGTAATAACATGAAAGAAACTGAAAAAAAAATATATGTTTCTTTATATATGCTATATATAACATTTTTTAAAAAAACTAAAATAAAGAAAATAAAAATAAAAAAATATTAATTAAAGATCTAATTTCAAAAGAAACATAAGACAGATTAATGCAGTTCTTAAATATAAAATTAAGATAACAATTTATGAATATAGTAGTAATAATGACCTAAGATATATTTTATAAACAAGTATAAATAATATAATCACAAATCAAGCAAATAAATAAAGAGTGAATAATAGTTAAATAACAGAAAAAAAACTGTCATTATTTTATCTTATATCTACCAAATAATGACAACATAACAGTAACATAACAGTAGTATAACAGCAGAATAACAGTAAAATAATAAGAGGTTTGTTAATACATATAAGTAACATAATAGTAATATAATAGCAAAATAATAGAACAGTTATATCCTAACAATCATTTGAACTAATATTTAAGTACTTTAGAAATTAACATATAATAAGTTTGTATTAATAATTTATTAATTTGTTAATAATGATAAATAACAAGATTGTCAAAATTAAAAAAAAGTAAATTATATTTAAGTACTTTAGAAATTAACATATAATAAGTTTGTATTAACAATTTATAAATTTGTCAATAAAGATAAAGTTGGCAAAATTAAAAAAAAGTAAATTATATTTAAGTACTTTAGAAATTAACATATAATAAGTTTGTATTAACAATTTATAAATTTGTCAATAAAAGTATCAGCTTGACCACCAAAAAGCAAATAATAATAATAATAAAATAAATAAATCAAAAATATTAGATAATAATAAAATATATAATTAATAAAAACATTAGAACAATAAATTATATAATTAACGTATTTTAAATATTTTTTTTAATATATTTTAGTTACCTAGTACTTGCTAAAATATATGTATGGATGGATTCAAGCGAAAAATCGATAGCATAAGTTTACTAACATGATATATGTGATAATTCAGGATTAGAAAATTTTTAGCTATTATTTAACTAATATTAAAAAAAAAAATGTTTTTTTAGTCATCAGAATTATAAGCATTAGAACGTCAAAGATGAAAATTTCGACCAATATAAAATCATCTCAAAAATTACAGGTGCAAACAAAAGGTACTGTATGTGATCGCTTGTCCACGAGTCATAAATAAATCGCACCTGGATCAACATCATTTCGTTATCGAGAAAGTGACATAATATCCACTAGAAAGAATAAAGACAATAAAATTCTTTTTTCGGCGACGACTTAATTGGTAGACACAAAATTTACGAAGTAAATCTTGACAACTTTTATTACACTATTACGTACAGTATGTACAGTACGTACAGTATGTATGCGTTGCGACTTTGTTTAAAAATCTAGTATACAAATAAAATTACAGAATAAGTAAGTATTCGTCATCATTTAAAAGAATAAACCAATTAAGCGTATACTGTATAAACAAACAGTTTTTTTTACTTAGCTATATACTACCATGCAACTTTAATATACAAAGTATGATCAGCAGCATCTAACGAACCAATCAGTTTGATTTTGGATTTCACCTATGAGTTCATACTACGTACGTTGCTGCACAAGAAACCAATACCTTTCTTAATCAAGAAACTCATAATTATTCCAGAACTTTTATCAATAATATTATCAATAATATTATGACGATTTCAAAATTACGCGAGGTAAACTTTTAATCATATTAAGAAATAATATTCGAATATTGGAATCAAATTTCAATTGATGTGGTGCATGATATAGTGAACGTTACGCGCCGAAACCTAATTTTATAATATATATATATAATTATAATGATCATCATTGAATAACTAGGCTTATGCATGGTAGCAATTGACAAACAACGAAATCATTCATTATCGATATGGTTTATTAAATAATCAAATTCGGAATAACATTATGAATAAAAACTTTTGAATTTTTTTTTTTTAAACCACTAATTATTTATTAACATTTTTTGCATGCACAACAGGTTGTTCGTTGAGAGGTTAACACGCAGTATGATAATCTTAATGACGTATTTTCAAGGGATTATCATCATGACGCAATCTCAATGACGTATTTTCAAGGGATTATCATCATGACGCAATCTCAATGACGTATATTAGCATGTACTTTAAACACGCGCACAATGAAGGTTCAAAAGTGGATGAAATAATTCCTTATCTCGAAAGATAATATTAGAAATAATTTCGGAAATTCATTTGCACATTATATATACGCACGTAGATATTTATAAATTTCATACCGAATTTCATACCATACCGAGAATTATAAAAGTTTATACTTAGTGGCTTGAAAGTAAATTGTGACAACAGAGATAGATAATTATTCAACATCAAGCACGAAAAAAATCACTTTTTTGTAATACATTTTTTGATAAGCTATTTACAACAAATCATTTTATTAAAAGCAGCTATTATTTAAAGCATCTATCTATTTAAACCACCTATTTAATCTATTTAATAACGATTATTTTGTCATGTGTTCTAAAACGATTTCTATTAAACGTTATGAATTGACATTGGCGCAATAATGACTCATTTTAACGTCAAATGTTGAATGAACCTTGTTATTGAGATTCTCTCCAGATAATTACTATATAATTTCCTTTTCTGATTGTATAAAAAAGAGCTTACGTTCATTATCGTCATTCGTCATTGTTAATCTGAATTCATACGTATCACATGATACTATTATTGTTTTTAGTACAATACTTGTGTCAGTTTTACAGAAGATTGTAAATATATATTATGTATATAAATAGTAATATCAATGTTCAGAAAGTACTATGTACGTAAATCTTTTAAAAACGTCATCGATACGTCACCGATAATAAGTTCCGAAAAAATCCTTTCGAATATAAAATTCATTTTTTCATTTTTAAAATTTTTGTGAGACTACCAAAAGTAGCATTTATTAAGTTGTGCCTGCATTCGATATTCCTAATTTTAATATATTATTATAACCGTCAAATAATCTATCACTCCTTTTTGTAAACACATTAAGTAAAATTTTAAAAATACCATAATCAGAACACACTTTCCCTGCATTATAATATATCTAGAGATTCATTCTAATATGTTATTTATCAAAACTTGTGTATTGAATGAGCGAAGCTTAGTAATTTCTATCGATATTGATTAAAAATTGATAAATTAAAAAAAAAATCCTATATTCGATATCATGTTTTCGAAGCAACTCAAGACATGCGTACTGTACTGTACATACAAACATATCAGGATGTATGTAAGTACTGTACAGTACAGACATATCAGGATGTAAGTACAGTACAGTACAGAGAATGTACGTAGTCATCATGTACAAATTATACAAATTATACAAATTATGCAGTTAGTGCACATCATATTTACATATATAGGAAATTTTAATCCGATTTGATTCCGCGACGTGACCTTATGGTTATATACGCGATGTAAAGGGCAGCACGTATACCCACAGAATTATATTGCAGGATTATATACCTTTAAATTCTAAAAATAAGTTTAAAAAATAATGATAAAATACGACATATAATCAATCAAAAACCTTGTCTAAATAATTTATATTTATTGTACAGATATTAATAAGTGATATATGTATGATTTGACGAAATACATGGATTATTAATACCGCACGATTGATTACGATATCTGCTAAACATCATAAGACTTGGAATGTTATGTATATCCTGAAAACTATTCACAAAACTACTCACAAAACTACTCACAAAACTAATCATAAAACTAATCACAAAACTAATCACAAAAATAATCACAAAACTATTCAAAGTTCAGCATCCCGTAACCATGCAAGCCATCATACCTAATTAGTGAAATTAAAAATCACTTTGTAATAGATTCATCTATTTTCGATCAATTAAAGGTGAAAACAAATTCAGTTCATCTATAAATATTACATCATTTCAAATAAGTGATGAAATAATAAAATTCTATAAATACTTTTTTTTTTGTGGAAATTCATTTATTTCTTACAATAATTACGTGTTTAAAGCAGGTTTCATGTTCTGATTGTTTGCAAAATTATTTAAGGTAAGCCAATAAAATTACCTTATATTTATAAGAGATAACATGTACGTATAGTGAGTTTAAGGAAAGAAGCGTGGATAAGGTCACGAGATAGCGCGGATATAACGCGGATATAATGCGGATATGAATTGTGAAATGATGTCATGCCACGTTCGAAGAAAGGATTTTGTTCTTGCATTTTACTACCGCGTCATTGTATTATGTCAGATGAATTGCTTAAAGAAGAATCTTTGATTAAAAAAAAATTACACATTATATCCCTTTTTTGAAAAAAATATATTAAATAAAAAATAGCAAAGTAAGGGTCCAAAGGAATGTTTGATAACTATAATAATAAGATAACCGGAATTCCAACCTCCGAGACTCCTCATTCTATGCAAAATATGATTGTAGATATTTTTGAATTATTATGACACATCATAAACCTTGGCATTATTACAATATCACAATTTTTTTACATTCTTTTAAATTGTCACTAATGTTTCATTGATTGATGACGTACGTACGTACAATATTATGGCGGGTGAATTAAGTTGATATTCGATATATTTGAAAAATTTTTTTGAAATTTGATTTTTTTTTTTTTCGCGTGTATATAATTTAATTCTTAAGATAGTGATGTACGCACATTTTATGAAACCGGACCCCGTTTAAGGAGTTAAATGTTTCAGTAGTGTTTCATGTTTAACCCTTGAATTATTTTATCATTTTCTTATCTAATATCTATATAAATCAAATAAAAATAAGTTTAGAAATCTCAGTGGCGCTGTTAAAAATATATATATATATATATAATTCATTTAACGATAATAAAACCCCTTGTAGTAATTTATTATATAAAATTCTGGGCCGAAATCCGAATCTTCGGTAATGGTTGATGATCGTTGATTAACCATTGTTTGCATTTCTTATTTGGTAAACATTGTAATACGAATTCTAGTTGAGATCTTGCATTGCATCTTTGTTTATCATATACGAGTTATTACTTAATTTATAAATTAAAATTAGGTTCTCTTTTTTTACATATAAAGTCAAGAAGAAAAATATTATTTGATGAATAAAGTAGGCAGGATATATAATGTAAATCATTGTATATGGCGTCTTCTTTAAACTCATTATAAGTCAAGAATATCTTATTATAGATAAAATTAAATAAAAGGCGTACCGTTTGAGGCACATGTCACAATTTATGGTAAATTATGTAAATTAATTAGATTATCCACGATTATTTTTTTTTTGCCATATTTTCCTTTATTACGTTGAATTTTTTTCAAGTACGTTAAATGATGCCAATTTTTTTAAAGTTTTACACATTCTTAGATTCTCTTACATAACCTTTGTCTTATTCATTTTAAATAAATGAAGTCATGATCATCGCATGTTAATATTATTATAACAAAGGTTAAGCTCAAGAACAAAGTTACGTGTTACCTTTTTTTTTTAAAAAAAAAAAAATCAAGAACAATGTTGTATTGGATTAAAGTGATGCCACTTTTAATCGATACCATTTTTGATTTATGTTCCTATTTTGGGTTTATATAAAAAAAGAATCCTTTGTTCAACGTTTTTTAAACAATGTCAATAAAACGAGAACAAAAGAATTCCCGATATTATTCCAAAATAAAAATTGATGGTAACATTTTGAGGTCATATGGTGACCCTTTGTTCTACTCCTTTGTTTTATAGAAACATTGTCCAATAAGATTAAAAGATCTGATACATTAATTGTTACATTTTGACAATTAATGACTTACAATGAATGGGGTCTTTTTTTTCAGATTTCAATGATAATAATGATAAGAATGATGAGAATGATGAGAACGATAATGATGAGAATGGATATTAAAGTATTAAGTATAAAGTATAGAATTATTACAGAGAAACTTTAATTAGTATCCTTGTTACCAAAAAAAAAAACTACAAAATTATATATTTTTATTTTCAATAACATATTAAACGCTCAAGCCAACATGCATGGCAACAACGTTTCTGTGTGAAATTCAATTATCTCAATTGTGATTCAATTACGTTATCTCAACTTTGTTACCTTATCTTTGTTATTCAATTATGTTATTTCATTATATTAATATACGGTATGTGTTAATTATTATATCTCAACACTATTATGATAATTACTGAACAAACATCTTAATTAATAAATCAAAATTAGAAACTCATAGATATCATGACACAATACGTATTAGGAGTATAGCTCCGATTAACTCGTGTTTCATATTAAAAAAAATTCTTTAATTATAATATATTCCTTAACGTATTCATTAAATATATTCCTTAACGTATTCATTAAATATATTCATTAATATTCATTAGTATATTCATTAATATTCATTAAGATATTCATTAGTATATTCATTAGTATATCCATTAATGTTCATTAAGATGTTCATTAGTATATTCATTAATATATTCATTGGTGTCAAAGACCATAAAGACGCGCCAATTTCCTTGTCAAGCCACGCCAATGATCAGATAAATATTATGAAACACGAGAAACAAAGACTTTCTATACGATCATTTCTACTCATTCATGACTCATTCATGACTCATCCACGGAGTTTTATCTCATATTTCACCTTTGTCTTTCTTTAAACTTGTGCGAGTGTGATTATATACTTTAGTGAAAAAAAAACCTTTTTTTTATGGTTCGCGTGTTACGATAACCATAGCATACACTTGAGGTCATGTTAGATAGATATTATAAGACAATGGTAAGCATACATAGATACATATAGAGTAATGTGGAGTAATCTCCTCGACCTTACGGATGACCATTCGGAATGGCCATATGGATGACCATACAGAATGGCCATACGGATAACTATACGGAATGACCATACCGAGACTATCACAAACCACAAGAAAAATTATCCGTGTTTAAATAAGGATGGTGTGACACTATTTTCATTGTACACAACAATAACTTGAATAATTTCTCAAAGTAGCTTTAATTGACAGATTAAATAAGCTAATAATTCTTTGATAACAGATTAAATAAGTTGGTGATTCTTTGATAACAGATTAAATAAGTTGGTGATTCTTTGAAGACGGCATAAAAAATGAATTATTATTTCCAATGGTGTAATTGACCTCTTGAGAATGTACTTGTTAAACTAAAATAGTCATTCATATATACATTACCTATCTAATTTAAAGTATCTAAGAAATCGAATCAGTATCCCCTGTTCTCTTAAATTGTAAATGGCATTGTTTTTTTTTTTTTTTTAGAATCTATTGCACACATTTTTTTATTAAATTAATTCAATCATTTTTTTTTTGATAAGTACATCGTACATACCTAAGTAAGTATGTATTTAGCTTTTGTGTTTCTCATCACGATAATCAAAGATCTACATTATAAGTTTAGTAAACCCCGGTATTCCCAATATTTGTGACTCCTTATGAAACTTGTAAAACTTGTAAAACTTGTGAAACTTTTAAACCTTTTAAAACTTGTAAAATTTTTAAACCTTTTAAAACTTGTGAAACTTTTAAAACGTTTAAAACTTGTAAAAAAAAAAAAAAAAAAATTAAATTATACGTGTTATATATTCTGTTTATAATTAACTTTACATAGAAATTTAAATTTAATTCATTGAAATAATGATTATCATTGTTATTTTTATTTTAATTTTAAAAAAGATCTTTTGCATAAAATCATTTCGAATCAAGCAAAAAACCTGTTTATTTTAAAACTCGACATTTAAACTGGATTTTTTTTGAAAATAGAAATTCCTGATATGTATATATGTACGTTCGTACATATACTTACATCTACGTACATACCGTACATATCTGATATATCTGATATATCGATATCTGATACTTTTTAAATCCTAAAAATAGATTTCATCTAAAAACGAAAAGTAAGAATTATTTGGTTAAATAATCCCTTCAAATGGTAAACCCCTACCATTATTATCCAATAAAATTCGAATTTATTTTCGGATGTTTGTTACCATAAACAGAATGTTCTGGGCCTTATTTAAGAAGAACTTTGAATGTTACTCAAGTACAAAAGAAAAGTCGACATTTTGTTGATGATAACATCATTTTTGGTTATATAAAGTTAAAAAAAAAATTCATTGGCTGTATGAAAATCCAAAGGATTTTCATAATGATAATAATTAGGTATTTTTGATACCTTTTTTTTTTTTAAAAATAACATTGTGCAGATTTTTATTATTATTTTTTATTGTGTATATATATTGTCATGGTTACGGTAACACATTTATCATAAGTTAACACACTGATGTAAAATGATGTCAATTTCTATCCCGAAAGGTTATCTCTTACTTCGAACGATACGAATAATTTTCGGGTTATCTCTTATTTCGAACGATACGAATAATTTTCGATACTTTTTTAAGTAACGATTATTGTTTTTGTGTTGTTTTAAGTGTTATACATTACACTGGTAAAAAATAACGGAAACTTGAAATTATCTAATCCAACTACATAAGTAACGATGTACATAAACGTAATAATTTATCGAGATATCTGATATAGTTCAAATTTTTTTTACTTCTGTATTACTTTACTATGTGTATGATTGATGTCAAAAGAAACAAAATTTATAAAGTTTAGATTTGAAATTTATCCATGTCAAATATCAAATATCAAATATCAAGTATTAAATATCAAATATAATAATTATTAATCTTAATAATTATTAATCTTATTCATTATAATATCAACAATTATAACAGTAATTATAACATTGTGAACATTGTATCAGTTATAATTATAAAGTCTATGTTCAATATTTAAAAAAGGTTTATTACATAAAAAAAAGAAATACCATTGCAAATAATTTACAGAAAAAAAAAGTATATATATATATATATGTATATATGTAAAAAACAAGGGTCTAAATTTGAATAGGTACAAATAAGGAATGTATATCGATGATTTATCTATAGAAAAAAAGCCCGTCTTTACGTCATACTACTAGATGGTAGGAAAAAAAAAAAAAAAAAAAGTCGCCAGCCATACAAAAATATATTTTACAAATTCTCTGTCAGTTTGTTTGTCTGTTTGTCTATATATGTATAAGGCTTTGTTTGATTTAATGCTATATGTGTGAAAAAAAAAAAATGATGAAATTTATGTGTATTTGTTTGACGAATAAATGCTTATAGTAACAATGTGATTCTTAGATTGTTTTATTCTTCTTCTATTTTCTGGAATTTTTTGTTGTAGCTTCGGTCCCTTTTGCATGACCACTATATCCATTTCGTCTTGTACCCTTTCTTACGGTTGTAGTAAGTGATGTAAGTCCTTCTGTAGTATTTCCAATAGTATTAGTTACAGTTGTTGTTGCTGCTGCTGTTAATTTTGCTCCACGTCCTAATCTTTTCAATATTTTACCTTCAACTAATTTACTTTTAAGTTTATCAACTAATTCTTTTAATTCATTATTCTCTGCTCTCATTTCTTCTAATTGTCTTGTTAATACATTATTTTCCGCAATTAATTCATTAATTTGTGAACTCATTTCTTGATTTTGTTTATGTTTTTTTGCGCGATATTTTGCTGATGCTACTTTATTTCTCTCGCGACGTTCTGAAAGTGAAAGTGGTGTAACAGTTCCTGATGTTGCTAAAGTTTGCATATAAGAATTTTGATCATCTAATTGAATTGGTGTAATAGGTGTAGGTGAAGAAGGTGTTGATGGATATCCATGAAATGATTGAACTCGAGGAATTGTTGGACCTGGGTTAGGTGATGTTAAAGGAGTTGGTAATGTAAGTTTATAAGAATCGACTTCCATAGCAGGATTGGGAGGTTTGTAGAGAGAAGAAATTCTCATACATTGTTGTGAAATTGGTTGACATTGTTGTGGACGTTGTTGCGAAATTGGAAGTGGAAGTTGATGAGTATAACCACTAACATGATGTGATCCCAATGGAGGACTCGTATGACGATTATGATGATATTGCAACATTGTTGAGTTTGTAGGTTCAGTAGGTGAAGGAGTTCTACTGCAACTAATAGGTGAAGAATGGTTACTTCCAGATCGTTGTACAGGTTCAGTTAATAATAAATCTTGTAAAGTTAATCTTCGGGTGCTTTCTGAAGCACTCCCATGGTATGAATCAAGATGGCCAGCATCGATAGCGGATGTTGTTAAAGTAGCCATATGTTTTTTTAGTCAGTTTAGTTGGATATTTGAATTTTATTTACTTGTTCCGAAAATAATTTTAAAAATATAATTTCAAAATGTTCAAAAAGGTTTTAGAGGAAAATAATAATAATAATAATAATAAAATTTGTTTATTACAATTCAGTCAAAATTCAGTTTTGTTTTTCCTGCGACGAAGGGGTCCTTTATATAAAAAAAAAACAACGCGAGGAATATACATACATTTAAATATCACATAATCACACTCAATTTCTTTTTGGGAAAACAAGAATATCTTTTTTAAATAATATATAGTATAAATAAATAAACTGTTGTATTTCATAGTTGTTGTATTCTAAAAAAAATGCTAATATATTCGGCTTCGGAATTTATTTTGTTTTATAAAATGATAAAGTAATTTTAAATTATAAACAATAATTTGCCACTTGTGACTGTGACAGTTGAGAAAAATCGTGTGGCTAGTGAACGAATGTTAACGTCACCCCTGAAAAATGTCTATTTGTAAAATATTGTCAGACCATGTAAATATTTGGTACGTAACATACGTACATACGTACATACATACATACAGTACTTGGTACGTAGAAGTTTTGATGTCGTCAGTTTTTTTTTAAGACTTAAAAGAATTAGATAAGTTTATTCTTTGTTAAAAAATAGCTTTTCAATACCTAAAATAATTAATAGAATGCCGTATACGTTATAATATTAGAAAAATATCAAGTTAGGTTATAAGGCACATTTTTTAGAAGTCATTTAGAAATACATTTTGGTAAAGATACATTTTAGTGTAAACTCAGAAATATAAGTAATAATATAGTGTAAATTCAGAAATATAAGTAAACTCAGGAATATAAGTAATAATATACAGTAATATACTTAGATATAAAAGAGCATATAACGAACGTACATATTAGATATACAACAATACTTTTTTTAATAATACTTTTTTAATTAATCCAAGATTTATAAAAAGTAATATTGGTATATAAACAAGCAACCTATGGCATCATATTCGGGTACTGACCCATCGACCCTTGAAATAATGCATACAATGAAAAACCTGAAACAAAAATATGGTATTTATTATTTACACGTTACAATGTTGATCTGTTAGACTCTATGTTAAGATTCACGGAAACTTTGGAGTTTGCCAAAAAATCTATTTATCTATCTATATCTTTTTTATCAACCTAAAATGACGACTCACAAAGAACGTGGTGGGATCGATTAAGTGCCACGTTTCCAATTTTAAAATCTCTGAAACATTATCCTTCTGTAAAAAAGCCTAATACACCTGTTTATGGTATAATATAGAACTACGTAATTGATGATATAATTCTATAAATTCTATAAATTTTATACTTAATTAATTCTATAAATTTTATACTTAATTATATAAATTTCATAATTAATTATATAAATTTCAAAGATTATATTTTCCGAAAATTTCCAAGACAAGAAAAAACACCACATATTATACACCACATATTATACATCAATACCTTCCTTTGCAAGCATTGCATTATTTATTGACAATGGGTATTTCTTGCATTGACTTCTTTACATTCTTTATAAAAAAAAAAACTTTAAATTTCATAATTCCATTATTCTTTTTTGGTTTTATCATTTAGTTTGGATAAAACTTTGGCGTAAACCATGTCTTTGTAATATTTGAAACATATCAAACTCCAAACATTACTTAGTAAGTAATTAATGCTTTCCGTAAATCAAATCTAAAATAGATTTACTCAAAGTTTATTGTTTATGAATGCACACGTTTTTTTTTCAATTTCCTCGAGGTATTAACAAAAATAGGTGAATGAACTCGTGTTCACCCTTAAAGGTTGTTTCGAAAATTTGTGGATCGACACGTGTTATGTAAACGGCAAATTATTACTATTTATTAACCCATGTCTGAAACAGTGGTACCGTCTATTAACAATGAAATTAATGATCTACTTTTTGAAAAAAAAAAATTTTTTTTTCTTGAAATGAGTCATTGTACGTACATGTACATACCTAGGTTGTTATTTTTAAAAAATATAATACTTGAAAAACAAAGATTATGTTTTAAAATTATGACATATTATTTAATTTTTATTATTTGACAGGCTTTGAATAATGGTAATAATTGTTCCAAGAGTTTTGATTACATCAAGCTTTACAAAGATTATTACAATATTTTGCGAAATTAATTAGGTGATCCATTCGTACGACCCTGGAAATCCGGTCGCCTGTACGTCTCAAACAATGTTAGTTTACCCCTACAGTTTCATTAACCTTAATTTTATATTATGAATTTTACGACATTCCACTACATTTTTTTTTTTTTGTTTTTCACTTCGTTTATCCGAATTTATTGATTATGATTGATTATTATTGATTATTATTGATTATTATTGATTATTATAGATAGATTATTTCGATTAATATTGATTATTAGAGGATCTTAAGATTTTCAATACTGTTAAATGATTCGCTCATTAACATATTTAAAAGGGTTCCACATCATCATTTGTAACGTTAAAAAAAAAAAAACCCTTACAGTTACCTTACAATTACCTTACAACTACCTTACAATTAATTACCTTACAATTTTGTACGCCTTCAAATTCTCATTAAATATTCAATACTTAATACCCAACTTAGTACTTAATACTCGATACTTAATACTCGATATGTACTTAATATTCGATATTTAATACTATATTCGAAAAATTTAATACTTAATACATAATAACTTAATAATACTTACCACTTAATAGGTACGTACTTAAACTCTAATAGAGTTTCAAATGCATAATCGTATGTATTTAAAAAAAAACATTATGTATAATTCATGGTATCTAAAATTTAATGCATACATATAATCTAATATTATCAAATAGGGGAAAAAAAAAATATTTCCTAAAGTCATTTCATAAGTATCCAATAATTATTTAATTATTATTTGTTTACGCGTTATATGTAATTATATGTATAATTATTTAGTATATACATAACTTTATTAATTCTTATTTAATAATAATTTATGACACGAAAAAAAATTAATAAGAATTTATTACAAAAAAGGACCCTGCAAAAATAAAAACAATGATTATTAATAAGATCTTAAAAGAGAACTGACAGGCTATCGGTTACTAATTATATACACTTGTATACATGACATGTTAAAAAAAGAAATTAAAAAACTATATTACAACTTTATATAGTATAATTCTATAATTCTATACATACGTATAATTTTTACGATTTCGTGTAACATTGAATGTGAACCTTCATTCATAGCCATTCATAGGCTCATTCGGAGAAAAGAATACTGTACATAAATTAATTGCGATACAGAGAAAAAAAAAAAACACTTAACTGAAAGAAAATATTTACAATTATGCGTATAATTAAAGCAAACAATAAAACGATTTTTAACCCCTCTTTCATAAACGCGTTTCAAAATTCTAGGTATGGCATCTCTTTGTCAGTCAATGAAACCGCAAATAGAATACAGCACGCGAATTCATTATTTTATTATAATTTATCGCATTGTTTTAATATATATATGTACATATATTAATTAAACATTAAAGAAACATTAAAAGAAACATTAAAAGAAACATTAAAAGAAACATTAAAAGAAACATTAAAGTCGTCATATTATTGTGATCCACTTTTGTAATATTCCTTCAAAGATCCGACTTCCTATGCATTAATCAAATTATTTATAGTTAAAATTCATGAAACTTTAAAGGATAGTTTGATAACCTGTTGTCTTTTGTGGAAATAGATATATTATGAAACTAAATATGAAACGTTTGACTGTTGTGGTTTCTTTAACTTTTGAGGTTAGTTTCCTTTTAAATGGTTGATGTTAATTTTCTCACGTAATTGGCACATGTAGACGCGTGTTATTATCTTCGTTTGCGTTTTAAGTGACGAATGGCGCGTGTTTCTTTTCATTAATAATCAATACAAAAAATATAACAAATATAAAAAATACAACGAATATAAAAAATATAAAAATATGTAATGCTGTATGCTGTATATCTGAATATTTGTATATTGTTAAATTGTTATATTAAATTCTTCTGCGCAGAATTTCGGAATTTATCATTCAAAATTTTTGTGGAAGTTTTAAAAATAATCTATTATCATATTTATTGTCGTATTTTTATCATCTCTATTAAAATTAAAAAAAGTAGCAATAGTTATTTTTAGTAAACTTTTTTTGATGTCACGAATCTCAAACACAAAATAATCCAATCCACGTGATCTATCTAAAAAAACAGATCTGCCGGGTACATACAATAACGAATAAAAAAAATTTTTATGAATTTTGCTTATAGTTTTCTTCTACTTTATATTTATTTTATTAGCATATTTAAATCAACAAAAAATTTTTTTATAACGAAAAGTCGTTCTTTTAATCCTCAAAATAAGATTTTTTGAATGAAAAAGGAATCAAAGTAAAAAAAATGTTTACAATACCGAAATCAATTTAAATTATCATGTTCAAAGAAATAATTAAGAACAACCTGACATCTAAAGTTCAAATATTTTTAGAGTGATAGTAATAATGAAATAAATATTTAACATCTAAAATATTTTTTGGTAATTTAAATAACTTACCATTCATTATAAACGCTTTTTATAGTATTAAATGAAGCATGTCTTTCGAAATGATTAAATGAAGCATATCTTTCGAAATTATTAACTTATTTGTCCAACATAGAAATATGCTTGTCGAATTTGCCTACAAATATAATCAAAAGAAAAAATATATAAATAATAAACAATAAAATTTTGAGATTAATTTTAAGAGATTAATTTCAAGAGATTCATGTTAATCAAAAGAAAATATATAAACAATAAACAATAAAATTTTAAGAGATTGTCAGCCTACCATTTTTTGCAAGAAACGAATAAATAAAAGAATGTATCAACCAGATTGATTTAATGAGCTAGATAATTAACAATGTATGCGCGTGTAAGTGATTCTCTGATATACAAAATGACTGCGCCACCTAATGATAAATTTAACGTTAAAAAAATCCTATTGGCTAAATTAAACCTAACCAATCAGATAGCATTAACATGAAACACAAAAACATATATTATTATAGTTATCATTATAATTAAATTATTAACGAAATATCAAATCTGTTTTCGATTCATACGTACCAATATTCAAGTGGCGAGATTCGATACTCGGTATGCACCGGCCGAAAGAACAATGGGAAGCACCGATCAATAACAGTCTAGAACACTTTGTGCATGGCGTCACACGATCACTTTCCCATTTAGAATTCGGGTATTCCATATAGAGATAAGTTTCATTAATTCTCGGGACTTTCGAAATATTCTCTAATTATATCAGCTTAACCACCTACGTATGTACTAAATTGTCATAAATTATCCCTAAATTGTCAAAAATTTTCCGATACATCCGGAATTTAGAAACATGAATGGTGGCTGTTTAGAATTTTGTTAACAATTCAGGCTTGCGTTATACAATTAAAAATTCGTACTTACCTACGCAGCCAGATCAGATATCAGATATCAGATATATACTTAACTATGTACGTAATCTATCCTGCATGATCCATTGGGTAATATGACCAAATAAATCTTAATTGACATATAAACGATAATGGTAATAATGTATAGATTATTTAATTCCTTTAGCGCCCTTCTTAAAGTCTCTTTAAAGTCTCTATAAAGTAATAAATCCTTTTTTATTCTATAATTAATGTAAAAAAAGAAATGTAAAATTGATTCTTATTACTATTACTTTAAACTTTAAAGAAGGCCAATCTGATAAGAAAATAAATACTAAATAGATTATTTTTAATTGTTCAAGTTATAATGCAGATTTAATCATAGTATTTTATCATTTCGTTTTGTAATTCTTATCATCCCGAAAAAAGATTCTATTGTCAAATGAGATCAGAAATAAAGTAATTAATGATAATTTCCAAATATGGTGGATATATGTTGATATATGTTGATATATGTTGATATATGTTGATGTATGTTGATATATGGTGATGCGATAGTCTTTGTGAATTATTAAATGTGGTCAAATATGAGATACATACCTTAAATCTATCGGCCGAAGGTCCGATCATCATATTTGATAATCAAATATCTTAAAGGTATATAATCAATTTAAGTAAATACTGACTATTTAACATTGTTTTTTTTTAAAAAAAAAGATCACCGTTATGCAATATAACGGGCAATAACGAATTGGCCAATCAGAAAATTTATAAGCATAAGCAAGCCGAGATCCCATCTAAAGTCATTAAAGAATGAGTAACCTGCTTATTTCTAATAAAGTCAATTTTAAATTAAATAACTGAAAGAATTAACCACATATAATGCACTTTTTTTTTTTTTTTTATTATGAAAGCATTGTTATTTTCGATATTTGGTTATTATCATCATCAATGTCGGGTAAACTATAGAAATGTAAGGGATTAATTGGGTAGATTTTTCCTCAAAATTCTCATCAATATGCTTGACATTATGCTTGAATTACCATAAATTAAATATTTATTGGTTCATGATCATATACAGCATTTCAAAAGAAAAATAGTTAAACCGGAATGAAATCCAAATTAGCAAAAAGGTTGTTCCACTTTTGTGAATCAAAAGAATATTATCGAAAATTATTTAGTTTTTTTTTTTTTTTCCAAGTATTTTTTTGTGATACTTAATTAATTAACAATTTGGTCACAGTATGATAAAATTACTTTACTGTATGATGGCTTTCTCCGTGAAAATAGTTTTAAAAAAAATAAAAAGAAAATTCTTTATTTGGTAAATTTTTATGTCGGCTGTTTGAAATAACCTCTTTGGGAATTCAAGACAATTTTAAAACTTCTTTTTCTTTTGCTTTTATTTCTCCATAATTCATGTTAACTCATGTCATTGGTAACCCTGACTATGTATAAGGGTTACAATATCATAAAGTAAGGTTTGGCGTTACTATAACTAAAGTGTGTAATTGCAGTTCTTTACTGTAATTAACTATATTAACTATAGTTAACTATAATTGACCGTAACGGACCGTAACGGACCCGTAACTGACTGTAACTGACTGTAATTGAATGTATCTGACTGTAATTGATTGTATCTGACTGACTGTAATTGATTGTAATTGACTGTAATGGTGATGATTTAACTGCAGTGATTTGAGATCAGTAAACGCGAGCACACTATCTTATGAACTTCCTTTTTTCGTTAATAAGTAATTAGAATAAACTCAAATAAATAAATAGTCTTTCTTTTATAATCCTTTCTTTAAAGTGTCGAACACCTTATCTAAACAAGGAACTTGACACATCACTTAATGTGATCATCATTTAATGTACGATCATGAGATGTATACATTAACACGGTGCGAACAAAATAGCATATTAATTTGGATGTATGCATATATATACTACTAATATCTTTTTGTTTATTATATGCTTACGCGTCAATACAATAAAATTTGACAATATTAATGTTTACTTGTTCAGGAGAACAAAAAATTTTTATTTTGCGGCACATTTCATTCGTTACTTCATTCGTTAAATGTTATTTCGGAATATTCCGCGAAAAAACCTTTAAAGTTAATTATCTTGTTTTATTTTTCTTTTGTTTGTTATTGTCGTAAAGTAGTATTAATCACATTATCATGCATTAAACCAATTATTTATATTATACGTGCCCTCACGCCAAGTGATGAAAAAAAATCTGATCCATGGTAATTCCGTGATCCCGATGTTAGTTATGTACTCGGCTAAAATTACTGTCCGAATTATGCAGCTACCATTAACTTACCCGAAATACTTTTATACTCGGTAGAGATTTTTTTTACTCAAGGATGACACTTTATTTTACTCAAGGATGACACTTTATTTACTCAAGGATGACACTTTAATTAAGCTATAGTAAAGTTAAATAAAGTTCACCTTTTTCGTTAAAAGAAAATCCTTATCCAGATATTATAAAATTACCTAGTTATCTGGGTAATTGCTACGTATAGTCATGTTATACCAATTCTTTTTATATAATAATACAATCCTTAACTAAAAAGTATTATGAGTATTATGAAAGTTCTGTAATATTATTCTACGTGATTAAACGCTAAAATAAATTGTTAATTCTTTTAATTATTAAAATTATTTTTAATTAGTTATAATATTATTAATTTTTTAGTATCACTTCGACGCTCACTTTCAAGAACAAACTTGTTAGCAACTTAATTTAGTAATTTTCAATACAATGATTATTTAGATTACATTCCAATTCAGGGTCACATCGTTACATCAAAAATAAATAAATATCACCAAATATGATAAATAAGTAATTTTGCGAGGTATCACAAACTTTTATCTATATTTATATAAAATCTTGTTTAACATACCTTTGACCCTCCCAGTATATACTTAACAACTATATTTATACCTGGGGTATGTAATTTCCTAAAAAGTGGCTTGACTTTCTCTTAACGAACCATTCATTGTTCATGTATATCACTGTTAATCATATTTGGTTTATGATCGAAGTTGTGACTTTTGTAAGTATTTGTTACTCACTTAATAATTGACCAATAAACAACTAAAAATTTTGTTCTTTATAATAATTATTAACATTATTGTTATTATATAGCCTCCTGTATTCCATAAACAGAATTCCGATTTTCCATGTTTAACTGTTAAATCAGCTGCTAAAACTAAAACGAATCGTCATAATAGCAAATAAGCTCTAATGACACCACTTATGCATTAATTCTATATTGGGTGAAGACAAAGACAATACAAACAGTAGTAATTTTCTTTATTCCTACCTGACGAAAAGAGTTGATATTCAAAGTATCCATAAATATTCTAGAACTTTTTATTATGAAATCGGTTTCACTGAAATTTTTAAAAAAAATCAGGTGAATACACATCTAATCTTAAAAATTCCTTGTTTAAAAAAAGTTGCTTGTATTTGTGATGAATGGTTTTTTTTTTGTCACGCATTAAATCGTCATTCATTAAACTTTATTCACATTTAAACTACTAATAGTGTCGTTTTTGAACAAAGATAATTTTAGAACCAATCGAAAAAAAATTTTTTTTTTTTTAACACAAAGGTTAAAATATGAACTTTGTTAACTTTTCCTCAAGTATTTGGTGTTTTTTCCTATAATTTCATTTCTCTTTGAAATAATTGTTCAATGATAACTCCATATTTAGTGTTTATGAATGATTACGACTTTTAACATAACGAAGCACCATACAAAGAGTACATAAATAATTCGTATTAAATAAATGAAATGATGCAATTATTACTTTTTTTTTTTTTTTTTTTATCGCTATATGTATAAATGATGAATAAATGATAAATAAATGTAGAATAAATGAGAAATAAATGAGAAAATACTATAAAATATTTATCGAGTCATCTCAAATCTCACGTAACTTTATTGGAAAATTAAATCATTTAATTGTTGTAAGAAAAAAACTCCAACTGAACTTACTTTATTAACATCAAAGAATAATATCTTAAGTTTCTATTGGTTATAATTGAATAAAGGAAATCAACAAATTATATTTAGGTAACAGATTCAAACCATACCGATACTTTGATTGAATCTAAGAATAAGTTTTCGAATGATAAATAATGATTAATCTGATTTGAAATGATTAGATTCAGAATTGATCTACAAAAATCACAAGAATGTTCGAAGGTTAGTTTTTTTTTTTTTATCATACCAAATCCAGATTTAGTAAGTGTCGGCCAAAAGGCAAGTGGTAATAAAGCATACCTCCATGCAATAATTTGGCTGGTTCTTTTTTTCAGACAAATTAAGTTTCTTTCTCAAGTACTAATATCGATATCGATATTTACGATTTACTGTACGTACGTTCGTACATACGTACTGTATGTGCGTACGTATCCACGTGTAGTGTATTACATAATTCTGAGGTGATTTGTATATGTCGAATAATAATAATAATAATAACAATAATAATAATTATTATTATTATATTATACGTATATAATTGATAATAAAACGATACTTTAAATATTTGTAGATATACAACATAAATAGCTAGTATTTTATCAAAAATATAATATTACCAAATTCTTGTTGGTTTACAAAATCCCACCTATTACAAAATCTCAAAGTTAGAATCCAATACACCCAAATTTTTTTAATATTAATTTTGCTACCGTTTTCGAAATTGAAAAATCTTAAAGGTTTTAATTGTTAGATTTTGTTGATGGGATTTTGGTGTTTAGTCTTAAATCGGAGTCGGTGTTCTGAGATTTTGTTAGTCGCGCTTATGTAATCTTTGATAAAAATAAATTTATTTCCTTTACCGTATTTTAACAATATCTAATGCTCATTTAAAGGTATATTTGAATAATTTCGTTTTTAATTAATAAAAATTTAGTGAGTTTTACAAGATCATATTAATGAAATTTTATCTATAAATCTATATAGTCAGATAATAAGTTTTATAGCAAAGATTTGAGAATTACTAAAATATATATATATTTATATATAAATACTTCATATTAAAAAGGTTTATTTTAACAATTTAAATAATGTGAAAAATTTGTTTTAAATAGAAGAGAGTGTAAGAGGTTAGATGTAGATTCTATAATGATGTATATGATACGTGACTTGTATAATAAGAAATTCAGAATTTTCAAACATAAAACACATAAGTTGATTGTAGAAATGACTATATAATAGTAACAGCAAGATCAGAATTGTATTTGTAATGACAAGATAATGAAACTTGTAATATGCATAAATAATGTAGTAATTAGTATTAAAAATAAGTGCATAAAAAATAGAATTATAAAGTAAATTCATATAAACAAAATTGTATTAATAAAAAAAAAAAAAGGTTTATATATAAAAAGAAAAATAACTTAGTAGGCAGACTGATTCTTAAAAAGAATAAAAATACTTCTCTTAATTATAATAATCATTGTTTGAATATTCATAATTCTGTTATAGTACTAAAACAAAATAGAACTTGAATTACATAATAATAAATAAACAAGAAACAATCAAAGTAATTCAAAACTGGTTATATTAAGAAATGTTTTAAAAAAATTAAAATTAATTACAAGTTACAAAATAATTTTATTAATTATAATTAATTACAAGTTACAAAATAATTGTATTAATTATAATCAATTACAAGTTACAAAATAATTGTATTAATTATAATTAATTGCAATTATTTAAAAAAGTAATTATAATTAATAATAATCAATAATGCAATTAATTTTTTTTTTTAGTATTAAGATGACCTCTTTGGTCTTTTGATTTTTATTAATGACTTTTGGTAATGTAATTCTATGAACTACTACAAAAAAGCATATAATTGACTATATGTATAACTTTTTTATATTATTTATTTAAGAAGTTCATCTGAAGGTTCCTTACTAATTGTTATATCTAATACTCTTTCTTGGATGTTCTACTTTAAATCTTCTAAATCTATAACTTGTATTAACTCACTAGGTCATATTCAGATGTTCAGATTATTATTTCAACCTTAGAACTATTTTATCTTTAAAATAAATCTCCAAAGCTTTTTGTATCTATTTTTACAATTAATTTAGATATTATTATAGCAAAACTAACACTTGTGGTTAGGACTTAACTATTAAACCATTATATCCTTGTAAAGTTCACTCAAATCTTAGTATTTACTTTACAACATAACTTTAATATTTTAGTATATCTTTTGCATTTTATCAAACTTTTAATTTAAATAGTTTATGTAAAACTATAATCAGTCTATTGATATATTAAGTTGGACCAATATTCTTTTCTTTCAGTTTGTTTCAACAGTCTGGTTGATGATATTTCTGAAACTTCTAACTCAAAGGTTTTTGTCTATCTGATTACTAAGACCTTGGTATCTGTTTTTTCAAATTAGTCTTTATAGTAATGTTATTAAAGATCTGATTACTTCTTTACTTAGATCTTCTCAAATAAACTTCTTGTTACCTAATTTCAACAAATTTACATAGTCACAAAAACTTATTTAGTATTTGCACTGTCTAGTTATCAATTTGTATTCTTTTGTATAACTTTAACATTGCACAAATACTTATAATCTGCCAGTTATGCTAATATGATTATTATTACAAATATCCTAATTCAATCATTAGTAACAATTGTCATAATATAAATATTATATAGGTAATTACCTAAATTTTCACTATTGATAAGATTTGAATACCTAACTTACTACTTAGAGAGTTGACAACCTGATCATTTTACTAAGTTATCACATCTCCATAATACAATTAATTATAATTATCTTTTAACTTATAATTATATTAATCTTTTTAAAAAATTTTTTAATATAAAATACATAGTACAAAGGTTAAACAATAATATTAAAACCTAATTTAACTACAACTTATAACTAATTAACAATATTATTAAAATAATAAATGATAATAAAAAAATTAAAAAATTTATTTTATACTAATTAAAAATACAATTTACAAATTAATATATTTTTTTTAGCTATTTTGCTCAAATTTAAATATTATAATTAAGTATTTTTTATATTATTTATAAATATCAAACAGATTAAATTAGCATACTAAATAGAATTTAATAATTTGTTTCAAAAAATTTAATTAACAAATACAAAATATATATATATTTATTTTTTTTTTTATTCTTTAACAGCCTTGCCGTAAACCTTTATTAAGATTCTTGTATTTATATTACATACATTTTAACTTAAGTTTCTGGTCCAACATCCTTTGGCTGCTTCTTTAAATGCCCAGAGATGGTCTGCTGCACTGGTTAGGGATATACCCAGATTCAGGGGCTGTACTAGACTAGCCAGTGAGGCCATATGTAAATGGTCTTGATTTACTATAAATAAAATTTGCGATTGAGCCAGACCATGCCTTATGTATTTTTATTTTTTCCACCTCTTTTTCGATTTTTCTGGCTTCAATCATTTGACTCTTTTCTATTTTAATAGTTTTCCTTATAAAACTAGCTTCATTAACTTTCTTTGTTGGGTTTTCTATCGAATTTCTTTTCTTTTTTTTGTTCTTCCTTTCAATTCCTATTTCTTTTTCCCATAAGATGAAAGCTTCACATTATTTTTTCCATATGTCCTCATAAAAGCAATTTCAAGCTGTATTAATTGCTATTGATACAAACTCTTTCATTTCTTTACTTGAATGGAGTAAATCTTGTAACAAATCTAGTATCTTTTCGAGTATTAGACCTTTGATTATTCCACATCTTGTTTTAATTTTCTCTTCAGTTCAGAGATTCCAAAACACTTCTTTAAGCTGCTCTTTATTTGCTTCTGTTCTGGCTTCAGCTGAAAGCTTTGTCCATGCCAAATTTATTGATGT